ACAAGGAAAAGCAATTATAGAAGAACCAAGACACTTCATGTTTCTGAAGAGGCTGAGGCTGTCAAGATAATGTTGGGAACAAGGAGAATAAGAACAGAGATCCAGTTAACAGAATTAATTTTAAAAAAGAAAGAAAGAAAGAAAGAAAGAAAGAAAGAAAGAAAGAAAGAAGCAGATTTAACCTCAGAAATAAGGAAGAAGCCTAGTTGAAAAACTCAAATAAAATGTGGTACTTAACTATGCATTCCTCCAAATTTTTCCATATCCATCTTCATTTTTTCCCTTCCAATATTATGGAACAACATATTCCTTTTATTACAACTAACCCGTCAGCTCATGGCATGGATCCCACCCTTAGTTTCTCCAAACAAAGCAGCCAAGTTTTATATTTTGAACTCTTTCCTGTATTGATTCCTTACCTCTTTTTTATTTGGAGGGTAGATGCGGAACTGAACCTCAACTCTGCACCCTCACTTTCTCAGACACCCCTATAGTCTATATGCACTGTTCCTACTTTCTCTCCTCCCATTCCCCTCAACCCAGTGCAAACTTATTGATTCCCTTCACATTAAAGCCAAAAAATAACATTCATGCTGCCAAGTCCACTGGAAGTTTTGTTTGTTTTAACCATGTCAAGTATTTCAATATACTTTGAATTGCCTGGAAGAGGGCCTGATAAATGAACACTACCATCCAAGTATAGGCTTCAGGATAAAATCCAGGTTCCATAATGGAAGGGAGAGGGCCTTCCATGATCTCACCGGCCGCTGCTTGATCTCTCCACACCACTGGCTGCTTCTCACCTCAGTGTCCCTGCTCATGCCCTCTCCTCTGCCTGAAAGGCCCTCCCCACACCCTTGCTTTACACCTAACTTCTTCCCTCCTACATACATGAGAAGCAATGTCCTCCACTGGCCTTTTCCTGACCCCTCAATCTCCACCACAGCTGCATGAGGTGCCACCTTTTGTTCTTCCATACCATTATTCTGTTGCTGCACTCACCTCTCTGTGCGATAATAGAGTGTTTATGTCCATCTCACCAATAGGCTCTAAATTACCTTAAATTAGGAACCATCTTAGACATGCACCTGGCAAGAGGGAAGCAACCGCCATTGCAGCAGTAACCATCCTTTTGCCCTCGAGAGGGATCCTCTTCAGCCCAGGATGGTATGGTTAGAGAATATTTTGGAAGCAAGGGCTCGCTCCTGTTGCTTTCAATCCCTTCTTGCTCTTGCCACTTCTCTGACTTGGGCTCTTGTGTTGCCGTGGTAACCAACAGTCCCAGAACACCGACTTTGGGCAGTTGAGCTTCCAGCTACTGAGACTAAGGATCTGAAGGATTTTGAACATCCTCAGTTTAGGGCTAAGTTGGTAGCACCTCTTTCACATGGGCGGCCACCACAGCAGAAAATGGCGGAGTCTGCAATGTGCGTGTGTGTGTGCGTGTGTGTTGTGTGTCCTCCTCCCTCGCTCCCCCACACTTACCTATTGGGACATCATAGAAAAAGCTGGACAAAAAAGTGCCATCAGATGGTGGGTGGATGGGGGTACAAATGGCTATAACCTTTCTGAAAAGCAATTTGGTATCAACTATCAGAAGCCTTTAATATGTTTGCGATCTTTGATCCATTAAACCCACATATAGGAATATAAAGAGAGATAAAAATTTACTGATAAGAGGGTTTAATGCAAATTTATTTATTAAAACAATAATTACCAGCTAATGGTCATTAATGAGAAAGTGGTTAAAAGTGACAGAATATAAAAAACATACGTTTATTGCAGGTTATGCCATAAAATAATTTGTTTGAACTGATGTGACATTATGTCCACACATGTATGTGAATGGGAGTATGTATATGTATAAATATGTGTACATATGGAAAAAAAAAGATTACAAGGAAATCCACCAAAATGTTTTTATAATGGTCACCGTTATTTCTGGATCAAGGAATCATAGGCATATTTATTTTCATCTTATATATTTTTTTATATTTTTTAAATTTTATACAATGGTCATTTTTGTTTTACAAGTTCTTTCAACTGTAGTAAGATGATGTGGGGCACCAGGTGAAGATGCTTAGTAGAAGGAATTGTGATACAATGAAAGAGATTTTTAAAGGGAGAGGGCTGCCTCTTTTGCCTTTCATTGGAGATTGCAAAATAGGATGAACTACTTCTACCGGAGACAAATAGTTCCAAATAGAAAAAGGAATAGATACCATTACTGCTTACCAGCCTCATCTATTTTTTCTTTGTTTTGAAGATTCCTGAGATGAGGTAGACCTAATATTTGATTGAACTCCATGGCAGACTCATTCTCCTACAGCAACTGTGCTGACACTGGGGACTGCAGCTCTGAATCAAACCTGAGCCTCTCTGTGGGCTACTACCCCAATGAAGACACCTTCTTCAATGAGAAAACAAACTCCTGTAAAGACACATCTTCCAACAACCCCTCAATCCATTTTGTCCCTCCGTTCCAAGGGTCATGGCAGACTGAAAGTAAAGGGACACTCCTGGAGAGACAAGACCAAATTCAGGACAGCACAGAGCAGTTTGGCCAACTCAACATCACCCCGGCCTGGGATGGCTGTAACCATTCAGACTCAATCATTAATTGGGATCTACATGGAGACAACCAGTGGATAGACCAAAATCCTGAAGAGAAGACAAAACTGACTCTCAGCAAACTGAATGGGCTGGTACAAAGGCTTGAGCAATTTCTAGAAAATCAGAAAGATGACGAAGATGATGAGTTTGTATTCCCTGAATCTGCTCAAAAGGAAGATTTCCAGCTGTCCAGCAGCACCCCTCCAGATGTGGCGCAGGTCAGTCATCAAGAACATGATGCTTGTCTTCAAGATTTGCCCATGTTCAACCCACCAGAAAATGATGCCATCCAGTGTCCACAGCCTCCTCCAAAGCTTCAGGAACATGAACTTGCTGAGGTGAGCACAGTGATGCCTCATAGGCAAGCAGGGGGCAGGCCTGGTGGAGGGGCCTGGGTGGAATTCAGGGAACACTGCTACCTGCTATGAAGCAGGGCAGGCCCTCTGGGTGTCTGACATGACTGGGAGTGGAAGAAGGATAACATCAAGGAAAAGGGTCAGGGTGGAGTTGAAGGAAAAATACCAAGGACCACTGAGGGAGAGAAGAGGATAGGAAAGTAAAGAAAAGCTAACAATTAGGGCCGCCCAAAAGTGTGAGTGCCTGTATTAATGAGTATGGAAACTTTGCATTTACAGATGGGTTAGTTTTGGTAAAAGGACTTGAGTCCCAAGAATGGGTAATTATGGACCCCATGTTGTCCAGGTTGCACATAACTCACGCATCATTCATTTCCTTGGCAGACGAAAAGAAAGGCAACTGGCAGACAAAGAACAAGTACTACAGCAACCTGCTCAATCTCATCAGATAAGCTGAAGAAGGAGGACACTCATTCTAGTACACAACCCCTCTCCTTTCTCAACTTTAGGTGGGTCTTCCGCTGGCTAAGGCAGCGAGTCCTCTCATTTTGGGGAAGAGAGCATCCCAAGAAGGCCCCCAAGAACCCCCATAAGCCGACACAAAGGAAAAGATTCTCTCACAGAAGCAAAATCCAACCTCAAGAACCCATTGAAGGAGAATACCCTATTGCCAGATTTTAAAACTTTTTGATTGCCCCTATTCTACAATTCCCATGAATCATCTCCCCTCACCTCCAATAAACAATACACATATTCTTATAATCCATGTCTTCCTCTTCCAGCTCACCATCTTGACTTGACTCAGGCTAACAGTATATATGCTGTCTAGAAGACTGAAATATATTCTCTGGGAATTTTAAGCAGTATCATTCTTCCTAACATGAAAGTGTCCTTTTTCTCTCCTTCTTTTTGTACTTTTACCCTATTTCATCATTAACCCAGATCTCTGTTTTCAGAAGGTAGCAGTATATCCCATCAGATTCCCAACCTGGCAGTACAGTTTTGGTTGAACTTCTGGGGCTCAAGCAAGTGGCAGTGGGCACTTGATCACTCAGGAAGGGCTTCAACTGGCAGTGTTTCAGGAGTTCAGACAGTCCTTCTGATGCTCCTAGGGGACCTCACTGGTTGTAGCATGCGTCACCTTGGTTATAAAATAAGTAGGTCCATTTAGGAGGGATGTGAGGATGGGGAATGCTACTTAATCACTCTAAACCAAACTTTCCTCATTCATGAAATGGGAAAGATGATAATACAGATCTCATAGGGTGGTTGAGAGAATAAATGAGATAGTATAAGCACTTCATAAATATTTTTATTGTTGTTGCTATTATCCATTCTTCCCAGATGTCTTCATCCAAGAGTAAGAATTTAAAAGTCAATTCTCATTGTAATATTTCCCACATAGAAGCAGTATTTACTCAAATTTATGGATTTGGGCAGATCTTGACTCAATCAAGTCCTCTCCCAACCCATTCTCCACTGTGCCCTCTGATTATTCCTTTATATGTCATTAAACTTTCCTCTAAATGTCAACTTCTTTGAAGAAGGCTGTCCATACTCCCCCTCCTTGCACTGACCTCTCCCTGTTGTTATTCTTAACTCACCTCCCTAATACCACTAACCATCCTCCTCATTCACCCACAGCTACTCAAAACTCTCCTTCAGCTTTTGCTACTTCCTACATAATCTTCAGAGTTCACGTTGTAAAGTGTATAATTCTTTAGTCTCAAATTCCTTCCGTCTCTCAATTTCAATTTCCTTATCCAATTCCTTCCTCTTTTCTTTTCTCCCTTCCACAAATACTTAGCACAAAGGAATGTCAGACACTTTTCTGGCTTACCCAAAACAAAATAAAACAAACTGTGGTTTCAAGTGGCTTATCATTTAAGAGATAAAGCCATGTAAACACATGACTATAAAGAGGTATAGATGAGAATAGTCTTATGAGTTACACACTGGGTACCAAAGAATAATCAATTCAACATGGGAAGGTTGATTTAAAAGGTTTTATATCAGAGTTTCCTTGAGTTACAAATATGGTTAGTTTAAGCCACTGGATAAAATGGTGTGGAAGTAAGGCAAGCAATCTGGGGTGGTTATATGTGAGAGGCAGTGGAGATGAAATTCCCCAAGGAAAGACAGTCCCATGAGAGGTAAAGGATCAAAGTATAGGGCCTTCTTAGCAATGTGCTCCTGATCACACCTTGAGTCTTTTTTTTTTTTACATTTGCAAAAGTAAGTTTATGAAAATATAAAAAAAAATTATCAAAGTGTGTTTGTACAGTCAAATAAATTAGCAAGGTTTTCTCTTTCTCACACCTCAGAACTTGAAAAATACATAGCAAGAAGCAGCACACTATCTCACAGTGGATGCTTTCTACTTGCTCGTTCTTGAACTAATATCACTATTTCCCACCTCAGAGTTTATACAAATATTGTTTTGTTTTCAAAGACAAACTTTAAAATTTACCCCCTGACAAATATAACGGGATAGAGCTAGTGCACTTTTCCTGGGACAAAGGAAGAACTGTGCAGAAGGTGGAGTTGAACAAACAAAATGTTCCTGATTACTGAGATAAAAGGAACCCCCCCTCAAAGTACACTTAATTGGTATATTTTCTTACCTTTAGGCTGGTAAAATCGAAACCTTTTCCAATAAATTGTTATTTAAAATGCAACCATTTGTACTCAAACAGATGTTGCTTTTAATGTTTTTGAAAAAAAGAAAACGTATGAGGTGATATATAAAAAACTGAGCACAACTAAGAAACAATGTATTGTGTCCTGGTTGAAATTTCTAATCAAATCTCTTTAGGAAAAAAGGAAGACTCCTTCAAAGCCAGACTCCTCATTTTATCCACCTCTCTGAGAACATTTTTCTCTTCGACAAGCTCCTCCACCTTCACTTGCTCTTTGACTTCACCAAGACTTTGAGCCCTTTACCATACCTGTTCCAAGATGTTCATTCACTTCCTTCCAGGTCCGACCTATGCACCTCCTTCCCAAACTGCAGCATTTCCACCACATCTAGCAGCATTCAGAATGCCTTGCTCTCTTCTTTTCCTAGATATATATTTTTTAAATCTACATTCCCCAAATTCCCCAACAGGATACTCTTGCTTCTCATAAGGGCCAATGTACAAAACATAGGGACTACTTTCTCCATTCCCTGGAGAATTTCCCCCATTCCCTTCCCAAGTCCCCCACTGCCAGGGGCACCTGTTCTTAAAGACTCTACTCTAGGGTTACTGTGAAGCCAAGACTCATCCTTCTAAATAAAATTGACCATGCCTTTCCTTAAACTGCTCCCTGGTTCCCACTCTGCCACCCCCACACCATGACTTGTACTTTTCAGACTTCTCTACATGATTAATTCCCCTAGTCTAGGCTCTAACCTCTTGAGGGTAAGCACCAGGTCTTAGTTTGTTTTTACTATAAGATCCTAACATAGTATCTGGTACAGAGAGGTCTTTCTGCCTCTATATGACCAGCCGTGTTAAAAGCAGGGACCAGATTGGGGTGAGGGAAGGGTGGTGGCAGGAAGAAGAGAAAATGACAGCCTATGAAAGCTCAAGTGAGGTGGGAACTACAGACTGAGAAACCTAAGACTAGAGGAATTTAGCAACTAATTTGAAAATTTAACTCAACAAAAATACATAGAGCCTACAAAATGCCTAAAATGGATGACATCTACCATCACAATACATGTAACCAGAGTTTTGTTATCATTTTAAGTAAAGCTGTAAGAAAAACTCAACTAAAATGAACTGATTTTATTTATTTTTTAAATTGTTTTATTGCTTAAAGTATTATAAAGAGTATTATATATGTCTCCTTTTTTTCTCCCCTTGACCCTCCCCTAGCCTCCCATGCCCCCCAGTGTCTTGTGTCCACTGGTTATGGTCATATGCATGCATACAAGTCCTTCGGTTGATCTCTTACCCCCCCTCCACTTAGGCTGTTTCCAGATCTTAGCTATGGTGTGAACTGGTTTTAAAAGTTTGCCCACACTAAATAAGTAAGCCCTGTTCATTTTTCAGTGCTCCATAAACCTGCTCGACAAGTAGGAACGTACCTCTGTGATTCAAACAATGTACTCTACAAGTCCTTATACTAAATATTCTTTGCAAAGAATCAGAATTCTAAATATTCTTTGGAGTTGCCATGCTACCTCTAAGAAAGCAAGTCAAAGTGTTTAAAAACAGGAAATATTCCAGTACCTCCTCAGTCATTACGGTGTCAAATATGCTATGAAGCTATTAGCTGCATGTCAACTGTGACTAATGATTCACTGCTTTGTGTCATATATATGGGTCTGGGGCTGGAGCTGGGGCTGGGGCTGGGGCTGGAGGAGGCCCACTACACATCAAGAGCATGGGAAGTAGTCACAGAAAGACACTATCTTTGGTGTAACCTCAAGCTGCTTGTAGAACTATTGTACTTGCCAGGCACATGCTAATCTAATTAACCAATAAGTTTTGGGATTCATTGTCTCAAGCCTCAAAGCTAAAATCATTCCTTTAAGTCAGTGGTCGGCAAACTGCGGCTCGCGAGCCACATGCGGCTCTTTGGCCCCTTGAGTGTGGCCACGAAGTTTCAATCCCACTGTACATGCATGCCTGCACGTGGTATTTTGTGGAAGAGCCACACTCAAGGGGCCGCATTTTGCCGACCACTGCTTTAAGTGAACTGCTCAACCCTGTAACCCATAAAGGTCAGCTGCTTGAATTAGCAAGATACTGCCTTAAATATTCATATTCTAGAATCTATAACAACACCATAAGATGAATCAGAAACACAGTGTGAGAACTTACCAACACAGTGTCAGCTCTCACCAAACACAGAATTGGAATAAGCTAATGTAAATTTTATAGACTACCCCATACCAAGCCAATTTCTTATTAAGCAGGATCCCACTGACACACACAAAACGTGTGTGATCATACCATCCCAGCAAAACAGAGGCAAACCAGTTTTCCAGACTTAAAGGATACAATATGAAAATTCATGGCTTAAGAGGATGCACAGGTCCAGGTCTACCTATCACAAAAACAAGTGTCCAGCCCAGCTGGTGTGGCTCAGTGACTGAGCATCAACCCATGCACCAAGAGATTACCCGTTCCATTCCAGGTTACAGGCTCAATCCCTGGTGAGGGGCATGCAGGAGACAACCAACTGATGTTCTCCTCATCGAAGTTTCTATCTCTCTCTCTCCCTTTCCCTTCCTCCTCTAAAAAAATCAATAAAACATTTTTTAAAAAACCAGTGTCCCGCCTGGCCAGTGTGGCAAGTGGTTAAGCCTAAGAACTAGGAGGTCACGGTCTGATTCCCTATCAGGGCACATACCTAGGTTTCCGGATCGATCCCCAGTTGGGGGGCATGCAGGGGACAGCCAATCAATCACTCTCTCTCTCATCATTGATGTTTCTATCTCTC